GAAAAGAAGTTATTGAATTGGCCCATTAACCCACCACCATCTTGATATTATCACTATATACTTATGGCAGAAGCTGAGCAACAGGATTTTTCAATAATAAACACAATGAAATACTTCATTTATTTCTAAAGCTTGCAGTTTTAAGGATGGTAGCTAGAAATGCTTCGTTTCTAGGTTGCATTTGGCATTCAGTGTTGTGAGGCACTAATCAGCTAAGTACTGTAATCCTCCTTGCAGGGACAGTCTTACTTGACCTGGAGCTATATACAGCCCATGGGAGCAGCATTAAAAGACGACCTTTCTTTATAGGCCCCTCACTAGGGGACTTTATGATGTCATCCTCGAATGAGTGATGATCTGTGTGTAACTTTTTAGTAATTGAGTTTTGAAATAAAATAATCGTAAGCAAGTAGAGACTTTGCGAATTACCTGATTAAGGATGCCCCCTATGATTTTGCTAGGGCTAGAAGGATTAAATGAAAGCACTGCTGGGCACAGTGTTGATGTATTTTTGTCAACATGATGCTTCGTGCTCGACAGATGTGCATTGGTTGAACTAAAGGTAAAGCTAAAAATGTTAAATATTGTGATATTTTATGTTTTTTTGATAAATTGGTTAAGTTGCTAACAGCCTTGATAGGAATTATGGGAATGGAAATTGAATATTTTATGTTTTATAGAATCATATACTTCTATTAAGTCCTCAACTGTTTTAACAGCTTTGAATTTAAAATTTGCTGGCAATGTTATGCTTAAACTACCTGGGTAGCACTGTGTATTTGTGAAATATTACTTTCATTTATTTGACAGTCTCCACAGTTTATAACATTCTTTGGAAGGTGAAGTTATTTTTCAGATTATTCATTCTTCAAATAGCATATCCTTTTAATTATAAAGTGATAGTTTTATTTATCTATGGTAATAAAGATTGTGATATTTATATAAACATTGTGCTTATAAGCATGAATTTAGAGAAATTAGTCATCAAACTCATTACCTTTAATATTATTATTAAAATAGGATAAATTTCAGTTAAGATTTGAAATATGTGAATATTAATTTTAACTTTTCATGTAATTTTCCCTACTGTATATTTTTAAATGTTTACTGAATTTTCAGAGACTTGATTATTTTATAGTAAATATGAACTGTATGATAGGTGGTGTAGTCAACACAAACCATGTAAAATGATTAAGACTGTAAATATTAAAAGGAAATTATGTTAAAAACATGCTGTAAATATTAAAAGGAAATTATGTTAAAAACATGATGGTTTAATACGTAAAATGAGACTATTTTAATATTCATATATTTCAAATCTTTGGGAAATTAGAAAGTGACTTTAATTAGAAAAGAAACTTCTTGTTTGGAATTTTCTGATCAGACAGTATGATTTTTAGGACCTTGAATTTTAAGGAATTTAGTTGGTAGGGTTTATAATGCAAATTTTTATGTATAGTCAGAATGACATTTATAATTGCTCATTGAGTGTACTTTACAGCTAGAATATTTAGAAATAGACTGACTAGTAGTCCATACGATAAAAAAATGATAAGCAGAATAGAAATGCTACTCGTCAGAATAGATTTCAGATGTTTAAAATGTGATTTTGGTTCCAGTTCAGACCAGTATGCTATGGTGCAAGAGAAAATAATTTTAACAACTACGGTTTTGATAAGAAGAACAAATAGATATTAGGTAAATACAAAGTGAATATAAATGTATGCTGATATTGTGTCAGAAAATAGAGATTAATTGAATCAAGGCAGTAAAAATTAGAACAGTATTAGTGCCACAAATGATTTTATTTTTATTGTAAGATAGTTTTGAAGTCTGTATCTCTTAATTTCTCAGAATATTTGTAGAGCTAAGTGGTACATAGCATCCTAGATGAATTACTCCATTTCTTTGAGTTATATCTTATGGGTTAATTATCATTAAAGGCTTTAAGATTCTTTTGAAAAATGTGTAAGTCATCATTTTCTGTTAGCAATTATATATTACCTGCTTGATAATAATACCAGGAGCAAAGATATGGGTTAGAGACACAGTACTTGAATTTTTATGTATTTTGTTTAGTTTCTTAAAAAAAGTCTAAGAAAATTAGAAGTTTTAAAATTTAAAGGGAAGTATATATGACAATTTATGATATAGTTGGTAGAAGTTTTGATAGAATATTTTAATATTTCAGAGTAACTGACAGCAGATTCTTCAGTGCTTGCTAATCTTACCCTGAAGTCTTACCTTGCTTTGCACGTAGCTTTAATATAACATACAGTGCTGTGCTTTAAAGGGTATTTTTTTTTTAAAAAACCATGTCCACTTTAAGTAACAGTGACAAATCATTCCAATTTCAGATTTTAATCACTGTTCCACTTTTACTTAAATCAAAACATTTCAGCATGGATATAGTGTGATTCACATGCTTCAGGCAAATTTCATAATCTCTACAATGAAGCGATTGCTAGATATAATATCTAATGCAGTTTTCCTGAGGTTTGATTTTTAAAAAGCACTCAGATGGCTTTTCCAGAACTAATTATCAAGTTTTTTTGAAACTGAATTCTGTAATAGAAGATAAATAGTCTTATTTATCAATAAAATAAACAGTATATTATCATTACATAGACTATACAATATTCACTTTGTGCTTGCTTTCCAAAAATTCATGTTATTTCCTTAGGGTATGAATGCAATTGTTTTTTTTCTTAATATTTCTGTAACACCAAGTGTCACGGTAAATACATTACTGGCAATCTTTAACATGTTAAGCTTTCATTTAGATAAATGAACTTGGTGAATTTTTTTATATATAAGATTACAGTTCCTAAGATACTGATGAGGGTTTTAGAACCATTTAGCTTCTTGAGATCAAGGATCGTATCTTATTCCTGTGTTCCTAATCTATATTATAGCATGTAGCATTTAGTTCTTATTTAATATATCTGTTGAAATAGCATGTGGGTTAAGCTGTGAATCTGTGCCTCTTATGTGCTCTAGAAAGCACAAAATCCCTCAGATTAAACGGCGATATAGGTTTGAATAACTGGCTAGTAGCAAAAGTGCGACTAAGAGATGCAGATCGTTTTACTGTAGTTTGCTTTCCACGGGCAGCAGTTCCGTGTTAGAGTTTTTCTTCTTGAGTTGTTTCACATAGAAACAATGAGCAAAGTAAAATGAATGTGCATAACATGGTGTTATATAAGGTTAGTACCATATTTAATTTGAGTTTCCTATTTTTGGCTGTAAATTTCAAACTGTAAAAGTTACTTTTAGGTGGCAGGTATAAAAGATTTGTAAGCTGGGTGTGGTAGTACATGCCTGTAACCCAGTACTCAGGAGGCTGAGTCAGAAGGATTGCTGTGAATTCGAGGCCATCCTGGGCTACAAAGTGAGTGTAGACCTGTCTGAACTATGTAGGGAGCCCGTGTCATAAAATGACACAAAACAAAACAAATTTGTAATTCAGTTCTAAATGTTTTATATATCAATAGAAAAAAAATCCTACATCCACTTACTTTGTTATGAAATAATCAAGAGCCTAGTCCCTTTATTTACTCTAACATTTTTTCGTTAATGGTCCCAGGTTAAATTCTACTCTGGCCTTGTATGGATGTGTGATTTTTAGAGGTGAACTTTACCCAGAAGCTGTTCCTGTCAGCAGTAATTTTTGGCAGGCAGGTGTGTGAGTGTTAGAGACTCCTGGGAAGCCCCTGCTAATCAGCCACCATCATGTAGTAGGCAGCTCAGATCGCTGCGGCAACGACCCTTAAGGGGCACAATGGCTTCCTAATGTCCACTTTGAGGCTCCTGTCTCAAGACCCTGGCCGTTAACTTCCTTAGCCTTCTCTTCTTGAGCCTATTCAATTGATTCTTGTAGCCTTTTGTATGGAAAAAACCCAAGATGGTTTCTGTTTTCATTAGTGAACACTTGTGGACAGATAACATGGGCAGTTTGTATTCCAGATGTGGGCAAAAGGGATTCAGTCACAAGGGACACTTAGGAGAGAGTGGTGATTTTCCTGGATCATGTCTTTCTACTCTGTCTTTCCTATGTTTGCTTTTGGACAAAAACAAAAACAAAAATAAAAACAAAAACAAACACCAGTCCAACCAAAACCTTAAGAAATTCATAATCTGGCTATTGAATCTTGGTCATCTTTAACTTCAGTGGCCTTGTTTTTTCTTACAGATTTGCTAAGTTATATTAGTGTTTGAGAGGCAGGTTGATAACTTGTTAAGTGTTCTCTGCGAATGTACAGAAATGTGGGGAGAAGTTAGGTGTGAAGACTGGTACAGCAGTATCACCAAGCAGACCTTAATCTTAATGAGATTGAATAAAACAGAAATCCTCTCTGATGTCTAGGGTTTTATGATCAATGATTATCATTGATACTTCTTTAAGTTATTCATCTCAAGTTAGACAATAAAGAAGGGCTGGACGCGTATGATATAAGACGAAGATTTAGATGACCATTACTAGGGGTGATCTAGGTAAATGAATGACAGTGATTTTTAAAAGCTGGCATTTAGTTTTCATGAGAAAGTAGTCAACTCTTTAGGCAAGTCTTTTGACTGCAGTACAGTTTCAGATCACTCTTACTAAGGTATTATAAACTGAGACAATCAAAGGAGGTATTTTTCTAAGCTCCTAGATAATAATTGGGGTACAGCCAGAGTGCAGCCAGTCCGGCAAAGAAGTGAAAAAAAAAGATTATTTTACAGCAGCAAAGTACGATAATGATTAACTAATTGTCAAGGATAACTACTCTTCATGTATATAGTGGTGTAGACAGCTAATAACCACATTACCTTTTATATGACTTGTTCAAGCTAAGTAAAATTAATATTATTAAGACTTTTGTATGATATGTGTTTAAAGTGAAAAAAAAGGCCAAATGAAGTATTTTAATTTGTCCATCAACTTGGCAGTGAATCAACAAAATGTAAAATTGCTTGAATGTTGCTATTCTTATTGTTCTTTTTCGTTTGTTACTTAGGAAAAGAAGTCCATCAGTGTCCAGAGATCAGGACAGAAGATACGACCAAAGGGAAGAAAGCGAGGAATATTCACAGTATGCTCCTTCTGATAGCGCAATGCCTAGATCTCCATCAGATTATGCTGATAGACGATCTCAACGTGAACCTCCATTTTATGAAGAATCTGATCATTTAAATTACAGGGACTCCAACAGGAGAAGTCACAGGCATTCCAAAGAATACATTGTAGATGATGAGGATGTGGAGAGCAGAGATGAATATGACAGACAGAGGAGAGAAGAGGAGTACCAGGCCCGCTACCGAAGCGATCCAAATTTGGCTCGTTACCCAGTCAAGCCTCAGCCGTATGAAGAACAAATGCGTATCCATGCCGAGGTGTCCCGTGCGAGGCATGAGAGAAGGCACAGTGATGTGTCCTTGGCAAATGCGGAGCTGGAGGATTCCAGGGTTTCTCTGTTAAGGATGGATCGGCCAACAAGGCAAAGATCTACATCCGAACGCAGAGCTGCCATGGAAAATCAGAGATCATATTCAATGGAAAGAACTCGAGAGGCTCAGGGACAAAGTTCTTACCCACAAAGGACCACAAACCATAGTCCTCCTACCCCTCGGAGGAGCCCGATACCCCTCGATAGACCAGACTTGAGACGCACTGACTCACTAAGGAAACAGCACCACTTAGACCCCAGCTCTGCCGTACGGAAAACGAAAAGGGAAAAGATGGAAACGATGCTGAGGAATGATTCCCTCAGTTCAGACCAGTCGGAGTCAGTGAGACCACCGCCACCAAAGCCTCATAAATCAAAGAAAGGAGGTAAAATGCGGCAGGTTTCACTGAGCAGTTCAGAGGAGGAGATGGCGTCCACGCCGGAGTATACCAGTTGCGATGATGTTGAGATTGAAAGTGAGAGTGTAAGTGAGAAAGGTAAGCTTCCCATTCTAGATTGTACGTCATACAGTGATTGACTTTCCACAGTTAGATATTCCTACGTGTGTTTAAAGTCTTTGAAGCATGTGAAGAAAACCTCAGATTAGAAAAAACGGAGTGTCTTCTTTGTTAAAGTAGTAGAAAAGTCTGTTTTCAAAAATGCTTTCTCGCTTGGTTTCTGAAATTTTTTCTTGCATTTCTTGATGAAATTTTAAGAATTTTAGCTTTAATTTAAAAAAACACTTATTTTTTGTGTCTCCTTGTAAAAGTATAATATGCAGCCATCTTCAAGGTATAAAGAGTGAAATACAGGTTATCTGCATTCCCTTCTCCCATAGGGCCATTGTGAACCTTTTATTTTTTTCTTTTCAACTATGCATGTATAGCTTATAGATTTATAAAATTGACAATTTTTTTTGTCTTTTTCCTTTTTATCGGTACCAGGGATCAAACTCACGATTGCCTGCTTGCAAGGCAGGCACTTGTGCCGCTGAGCTAAATCCCCAGCCAACAATGTACTTTTAAAACATACTTTTATGTCTTGAGTTTTTTTCAGTTGATTTTTTAAAGTAGTAAATATTCTCTAAAAGTCTACTGCAGTGGCCGTACCACTGTTCTATCATGAGAGTGTTACATAGCTAAGCGTTGGAGGCTCTGCAGCTGCTTGCAGCATCCTTTTACATAATTTTTGCCACCCTGTCTGAGTATGTCAAAGGTATATATTTGTGCTTTGGATTTTTTTTTAAAGCTTCAATTCAGATTTGCAAACCATTTTCCAGAAAGGTTGTAAGGGTCTCTTCTTCTGTCAGATGTGCTTGAGCTTTTGGTCTAAAGGCACCAAAGCCTTGGCAGTTAAATAGGAGACACACACACACACACACACACACACACACACACACACACTTGCACACTCACACCCTCACATTCTTTCTTGTTTGAATTTGCTTATGAGGTTGATGTTTAAAAATTTTTAAATATGCTTACTTGTGTATGTTACTTGATTTATTACAATATTCTTTCCTGCCCATCTTTCTGTTGGATAGTAATTTATCTTTCTTTCATTGATTTATAAGAACTTTTAAAATATACTAGAGTTTTACTTCATTTAACTGTTATTTGTTGCAATTTATTTCCTATTTTGATATTTGTTAATTGTACTTATTTAGGAATATTGAATTTGATGCAAAATCAAATCTTTATATCTTTGACTTTTTCATTATTCACCATTAGAAACCTTCATTCATCCCCAAATCAGTTATAACAACATTTAGCTTTATATTTTATCAATTTTATTTTTCCATAATTTTGGAGTTTACTTTGGTGTATAACGAATGCACCAGAGTGATGAGAACATGTACAATCCTGCTCCTCGCCTCCCCAGTTTTATTATGCCACTTGGAGATGAGTCCATTTCCTCGTTAAGAATGAAGAGGAATTAAAATGAGAATTCAGGAAGGCAGCTAGATTGAAGTTAATGTAGTCATTTTATATCATATAATGTAGTCACTTACATCAAAAGGTAATTAGTTTGAAAATATAAATGAAGAGTGGTTCCTATTCTGACCCCATAACTGAAAATGTGATTTAAAAATAATTAACAAGGAATAAGGGGACCTGTAGGAAGAACCCTAGAGACTTACTGGGCAGCATAAAAGAAAATGTGAGTTCATTTCATGTTCCCAAGTAGAAAGACTTAGTACTATAAACATACTTGCCAAATAATCCTTCAAATTAATAAAATTATATTCATAATCTCAATTGGACCCTCAGTTGGGATTTCTATTTTCAAAGTTAATGTGAAAAGCAAAAATACTGGTAAGAATAAGAGTAGTGATTAAGGATTTATCCGACATAGTAATAAAGTGACAGTAATTGAAAGTGTGATATTGATAGAACATTTGACAGATCAGTAGAATTCTAAATAAATAAATGACAGAAATATTAAAAGCACCGTAATCCAAGGGAAATGAGTTAAATAATTCAACAACTGAATTGAAGAAAATGCATATGCAGTTGGAATAAATTAATAGATTTATTTTATACTGTATTTGACTGATATACCATCTGAAAATTATACTCATTGAAGAATAATTATTCCAAAGAGAACCATATGTACTGTATTAATCAAGTTTAATATACAATATTTAGAAATTTTATTTTCTCTAAGCTGTGATACTACTTCCTTAAGTATATTTAATAATCTTTAGTGTGGTCATTTTCCACACTTGTCAGATTGTATAATAATACTACTACTAGAAAAGGATATTCTTGTTATTTTTGGAAGCTTAGATTATGTTCCATATGTTAGGTACTTATATTAATGTTTGCTAAAGTAATTCCTTTATGTTGCTACATAAACACGTGAAAAACAAAATAGAAGTGCGTCAGTACAGTACTTGAAAGCTTGTCTTACATTTTGTTTATGAATTTGAAGTATTTATTTATAAACTATCTCATATAAAACGAGCTATATATGAATTAAATTAAGATCATATGTGATATTATTTAGCAAAACTAAAACATTTATTAAATGTAGAAGGAAACTGAGTGTCACATTAGAATTGTTGGTAGATGTTTTTGGAGATAGTCCTTTTTGTCACTTTCTAATAATTTGTTTCACAGAGCATAGTTTCTGTGAGTGTTATTCTTAAAGAGAAAAAAAATAAAAACAATGATACAGAATTTCAAAATAAGATGATAGAAGATTAACAAGGTAAATATATTATGTATTCTCTTCAGAGTAGTTGCTCAGATTACAAGATACAGGCATGAAAAATTGGTCAAACTATATAAGCACAAACTGTTCTTTTCAATGAACTAATAAAAATTAGATCATTGTGTAATTACCTCAGCTACCTTGCATATACATGTATGTGTTTATGTTTTTTCTTTTCCTTTCCCTCTTTTCTCCTTTATTTCATTCCAGTTCTTTCCTTTTGAGCAGTTTCCTTCCCTTTCACAATACAATTGTACATTTTGAATCTCATTTACTCTTCCATTTTCTCATACTAAAGAGACAATATGATGTTTATACATGTGAGTCTGATTTATTTCACTTACAAGTATGGTCTCAAGTTGCAAAGCCTTGAAGTTATCCTTCTTTATAGCTGAGTAGTACTCCATTGTATAAAAATACATCTTTTTTATCCATTCTGCAGTTGATGGGAATTTGGATTTTTTTAAAGATTTAGCTATATTTATAAATATTTATACATATAAATATTTATAAATTGTTTATATATATAAATATTTATAAATTGTGGATGCAAATATGTCACTGTGGTATGATGTTTTCATTTCTCCTGGGAAAATACCCAGAAGGTAAATAGCAGGTTCAAATGGGACCTGTAATCCTAGCTTTTTGAAGAATCTCCACACTGATTTCTAGAGTGGTTGTACCAGTCTACTCTCCCACCAAGAGTGGAGACGCATTCTTTTTTTTCCTCATAGCTCTTCTGGCTTTTGTTATTGGTTGAATTCTTGATGATAGCAGTTGTTTTTTTGGGTAAGATGAAATCTCAGTGTTGTTTAATTTTCCTAACATTATTTTTGACATGTTTCAAGATTTGGTACAAAAAATCTGAATAAAGTAAGTTTTGCCTGTTTAATATTTCTTCGATAATTGAATGTAGTGAGGAGAAGTTGTACTTGCTCAGACACTGGAAATTATAGAGAAGAGAAAGAAATGACTTCTCTTTATTACAGAAGCATTTTAATTATTGTGGAAAAAGCATCAGTCTGATTTTGGAATAAGCTTTTAAAGGTCTCTAACATTGTGATTCATGACCATCCTTGGTGTTTGTCTAATTTTGGGCATGTCTTCCTAATAATTAAAGAAGTTTCCTTACTGGCATTTAAACACATTTTTCCTTTCTTATTTATATGTGTGGCTTTTTAAAGATCGTCATGCCATTGTTTTATTATTTCTAGGCTAAGTAACTCCAGAGAATGTGTTTTACCACTCAGATACGTTTCTCATTATCTTGACTCTTCTGTTCCTTTTTTATTTTAATGCACTACCTTTCAACACTGTGAAAGACAAATTTGGATCAAGTGATTTAGAATGTTAACCTGAACTGTCATAGATAGTAACAGGCAATTATCATTGTGGGAGCATTTTCCAGGCCCTCGTAGGTCGTGGCTTCTGCCACATGGCAAGATCTTTCTTGCTCTTTAAATAATAGAATTCTATTGGCAGTATGTGGCAAGCATGTAACTCATTCAACTTAAAATTCTTGCTTCCCCTGTATCTTTTGGCTCTTCTGTTTTTTCTTATTTTATTTTCATTGGTGCATTGATGACTTTGACTTTTACTCATTTGACACCTGGATGAATTTCATTATTCTCAGTATCAAAGAATTTCATTCAAAGTTGCAATCAGTGTCACTTTCTCTGTTATTTTCTTTTTAAAATATTTTTTATTTAAGAGAAAAACACAAAAACAAAAATCAAGAGAGACAAACGACAATAACAAGTCAATGCAATAACAATATAGGTTTACAAGACAAGATGATAGGAATTTGACAATGGTAATACTACATATTGTTACCTTCAAAAGCATTGCTTAGAATAATATATATAGACATGTGAAGTTGATCTAATCATATGAATATTAACTGTTCTTTTTCAGTAGCTAATATAATTAATAGTATAGTCATTTTAGCTATTATATATATATATATATATATATATGATACAAATTTGTGTCTTTTCCTTTTCTCTTCCTTCTTTCCTCCTTTCCCCATTCCAATTACTTTTCCTCTTTGAGCAGTTTCTTACCTTTACTATATTATTTATTGTAGATTTTAGATCATATATACTTTTTCAGTTTCTTATACTAGGGAGACAATATAGTATTTACACATGTGAGTTTGATTTACTTCACTTATGAATGTGGTCTCAAGTCACGTCCATTTACTTATAAAAGTCTCAATGTAATCTTTATTTATAGCTGAGTAGTACTCCATTGTCTTAAAATATCATATCTTATTTTTATC